AAAAAAGAATCTAGGCACAGACCTTCTACCCTTCACACAATGGATCACAGATGTAAAATTCAAAACTACAGAACTCCTAGGACACGGCATGGGAAAAATCCCAGACGACCTTGGGCATGGTGATGCAGGGTCAAAGGCACGATCCATGAAGGAAATTACCGATCGGCTGGTCTTCATTAAAATTTAAAAATTTCTGTTGTGTAAATGACAACATCAAGATAAGCAGAAGATAGACCACAGACCAGGAGGAAATGTTTGCCAAAGAAACATCTGGTAAGATTGCCCAAAATGTAGAAAAACTCTTAAAACTCAACAATAAGAAAACAAACAGAAGGCCAATTAACGAATGGGCCTAAAATCTTAACAGACACCTCACCAAAGAAGATTCACAGATGACGAATTTATATGTTCCGCATATGATGTCACCACCAGGGAAATGCAAATTAAAACACGAGCCACCACTACCACCTATTAGAACGGCCAAAAGCCAGAACACTGACGACATCAATTGCTGCTGAGGAAGGATGTGGAGCCACAGGAACTCTCTTCACGGCTGCTGGGAATCCAAATGGTACAGCCACTTCGGAAGCTGGGCCGTTTCTTACAAAATTAAACATACTCTGACCACAAGATCCGGCAATCACACTCCTGGGCATTTACCCAAAGGAGCTGAAAACCCACGTCCACACAAAAACCTGGACACGGTGTTCACGGCAGCTTTGCTCACGCTGCCAAAACTCGGAAGCAGCTAAGATGTCCTTCGGCAGGTGATGGGTAAACGGCGGTCCCGACAGCAGACTCACTCAGCGCTAACAAGAAATAAGCTGTCAGGTCATGGAACTACGCGGTGGACCCACGAATGGGCACGGCTACGTGAAGGGCGCAGTGTGAAAGGCTCCGTCCTGCATGATGCCGACTCTGTGACATCTGGGAAAAGGCAAAACCATGGGGCCAGTAAGAAGACCAGGGGCTGCCAAGGCTTGGGGAGGAGGAAGGAACGGGGGAGCGAAGGGGATGTCGAAGGCGGTGCAAACACTGTGTGTGGCCCTAACGGTGGGTACACATCACTGGACGTTTGTCCAAACCCACAGAACGTGAACACGGACGTTTGTCCAAACCCACAGAACATGAACACAAACCCACAGAACGTGAACACGGACCCACAGAACGTGAACATGGACGTTTGTCCAAACCCACAGAACGTAAACATGGACCCTGACGGGGACTCCGGGTGGTGGCGACCCAGGCCCGCCGGCTGTCACAAACGCCCCACTCCGGTGGGAGAGGCTGACAGCGGGGTGGGAGCGGGGTACGTGGGAACTCTCAGCCTTGTAATCTTGCCGTGAGCCTGAAACTGCTCTAAATACCAAAACCTTTTTTTTAAATGCTTTTGATGGATCCGAGAATGCAGATCTTGCTTCTGCCTGGTGTGGACCGCACGCGAGCCTGAGGCGCGTGTGCGCACGCGTGCGGGAGTGCGTTCACGCACCGCAGGCTGCGGCGTCCAGCACGAGGCGCGCGCGAGCACGCAGCCTGTGATGCGCCCTTCCGCGGCGACGGAGACGCCGCATCTGCCCTGCCCGAAACCCGATCGTCACTCAAGAGCAAACGCGTTTTCGTGACGACGTGGTCAGGCCGACGTCTGTCCGCTGACTCGCGAGGCGGGCCTGCTCGGAGGTGGCCTCCGCCAGCAAAGAAGTGACATTCTCTCGTGGAGACGTCGGACGTTGACTCTCAGAGAATTCCGGCCGACGCGATGTTTGACGACACCGATTTCCTTGGAGCGGTGACGAGAGACCAGACAATGGCTACAGTGGCTCCGTCAACAGGATGTTAAACGGATAAATAAATGTTGCCACTTTTATGATTAATAACGGACGCATCTATCTGGCGTTTATCAGCTCAGCACCACAGAATCTGCAAATTATGAACCAGCCACGACAGAGAAACGGGGTCTGAACTCGCGAGAAGTAACGACTGGTCCTGGCCAGTGTCCTGCCAGGCAAAGCGGACACTTTTATGGGCCTTTCCTTCTGAGATTCATTTTCCCCCAAAAGTAACATGTATGGACTTTTTCTATAACCAATATTGAATTTTCCCCCAAACATTTTATGTCAGGCTTTCTGGACTAGATTGCAGGGGTTCAGGGAGGGACCCCAGATTATGGACACTGGGACGAGCACACAGAGGCTCGACGTGCAGAAGGCACGAATTTCCAGATGAGCCTGACCGTGTGTGAGGGGCCCAGCCTTCAACAGGAGGCTCGCGACTGAGGTGAGGCTTTGACCTTGAGCCCCAAACACCAGTGCCCACGGAAGGCCCCTGGTGGAGAGGAGGCTTCGCTTGGGGTTTGCACGCACAGGTGAGCGCAGCGCGTCCCCGAGTCCAGCGCCGCGTGAGAAGGGCATGTTAGTGGCCGCTCAGTCCCTGGAATGAGGTCGACCCTTGCTCTCTCGTGTCAAGCAAACTCCACAGCCAGTTAAGGACACTTAAGTTTCAAGAGTCAAATGACAGGGGACTCAGGTTTGCCCCACACCCTGGGAGAAGCCATGGAGGGTGAGAAACACTTAAGTCTGTCTCGGGGTGGCCGGGCTAGGACGAGGACGCCCCGGGCTGGCACTTCCCCGCCCTGCAGGCTCCGTGTCCTGTGATCCTCCTGTGCCCGTCTGCACGTCGGTGCAAAGTCAGAGCACTGAGGTGGCCCCAGGCCACGGGACGGTCAAGGCACTGGTTACAGGAACGGGACACAGTCCGGGGTTGGAGGCGAAGAGCTCACACCTGAAAACCCCTGGTCAGCCACAGCCATGAGACCTCAGGTGCCCGGTCAACAGAGGGACGCCTGGCGCTCAGGGGTCACGGATGGAGGAATGGCCGGGGCTGCGGCCTGGCAGGCAGCACCCACAGCTGTCCGTCCAGCGGCTGCTTCCTGAATGAACTTAGAACTCGGCCCAGGTGGACGACGGGGACCACGGTGCTGTCCCTTGTGCAGACAACAGTCAAACGCATGAATTAGACAACTGAACAGCTGATGAGTGAGCGGGGAGACAGACGATGGTCAGATAATGACAATAATTAGTGGAAATGGCAACCGTGTCTAAGCTACGAGGAACGTCCCGCGCTGTCATGGAGCCGAGGATGGGTGTGTGTGATCCAACCAGTGAGGGATGGAGGGAGACACGGGACCTGCCCACGGCCCCGTCCTACGGCAGGACCCGCCTGGGGCAGGTGGCCTGGCCCTGCTGCGGAGGGCCCCACGCTCTGCCTCTGGCGGTGACGGTCACAGGAGATGCTTCCAGGAAGAAGAACCCACACTCGGTAAGAGGAACTCTGCCCAAAAGGCCTCCAGCCTCGTCCGCCTGGACCCTGCAGAGCAGCCCGTGGGGCCGCAGCGAACCCTGTCTGCGTGCCCCGCCCCTGGCCTGCACCCCCTTCCCGTCCTCCAGGGGGTGTCCATGATGCCATGTCTGGGAACACGCCGTGAGGACCGACAGGGAGCTGGGCCTGCCAGGGTTTGTGGACGCCTGGTCCCACACTGTCACATGTGACAGCACGCCCCGTCACGCTCCCGCCACTGCCGAGGTGGCGGCTGGAGCGTCCCCCTCACGCTCACCCCTCTTTCCTGCTTCTGCAAACACGGGCCCTCCGAGTGCCACCTGCAGCTTCTTGCCACGTCACCCTGAGCAGCGCCACCTCTAAGGTCCTTGCTGAGCCACGTGGCTTACGAACACACGTGAAAACGAACACGCAAAGTTCAAAACAAAACGCGCCCGCCTGGTGTCTCCGGCTGCGCGCCCTGAGCCCGCCCGCACGACCCCGC